TTCATGTTTTAAAAGCTTCTCATAGATACAGCATAGCATGAGAAGGTAAAACTTGAACTCCATCCTGCAATTTTTGGATGCCAAAAACCAGCTGAACAGGTAATGAACCGTCATACAGACCATGCACAGGAATGTGCTTGTACAGGCGAGATTATTTTGTTGGACCTTACACAAAGTTTTACCCGCGACACACCGTGGAAAGGGGAGTAGAGTCGTCGTTTAAAAGGGCAGAGATGGCAAAGATAACCGGGACAAGGTACGGATGATGGGGAGGAATTCGCCAAAAGGAGGGACACAGCTCAAGATGAGCAGCTGGAAGAAAGCAGCACCAGGCAGGAAGGGGAGGAGGATGGGAAGAAGGAATGACCAGGCGAATATGTCAGGGATGCATGTATGCCTGTATACTTGTTGAAATTATTTTGCACCGTACGTAGCTAACTGTACTAATCGGAGGTGCAGACAAGTACAACAAACAACACAAAAAGCAGTTCTAAAGAAAGTCGTTTTCAATATAAAATTTAACTTGCCTAGCTCTAGTGGCTTCCTAATATCGGAAGGAAGAGCGTTTACAGACGGCCGCAGAAGCGCATCTGAAAGCACGCAATGCCATGACCGTCTTTGTTCGATGGCAAGCCAAAAGCCACTGCTGCGAGGATGACCGGAGTTGTGATGGTTTATGGTCATCTCTCATCACCCTATTATCCCTTCAGAGGGTGATGAAAGACGGGAAGTAGGGAGAGAGAAGGAACAAGCAAGAAGTAAGCTGCGTGGAGCAGAATCTGTTTCCATAGTGGGTGGGGAGAGGGGAGGAGATTCAGAGTGGTGGTGGCCACGCAGGTCAGGTGATTTACGGGAGGCTTGAGCCGATTTAGATATATAGATTAAAAATATGGGGGCATACAGCATCAAGTTACCTGCATCCAACTATTTTTACAGTATTAAATAACGTCATCAGGAATCTCACCGAATTCTCGCATACAGTATATATTTCCATGAAATGTATCTAAAATAATAAATGCCAAAAAGGTTAAGAAAACTGGTTTAAAACAAATCAACAGGATGCATCACCGATCATTAAAATAATACAAGTGCATCAAATCAAAATTTTTAACCACATTGCGTTGCATTGTTAGATTTGTGGGAGGGAGGCGGATATACAGGGGGAAGAGGGGATGGTGGGGGGGAGTAAACATTCCTAGAATGTGAGTATAGCGATAATCAGCAAGCGCAAAGCCATTCCTACGGCTGATGTTTGTGTGGCTTACCAAGTCGCGTTTTGGGTGGCTTGTAGGGGGTTTGAATAGATGGGGGCCCAGTTTGCTGGTAGTCTACGTCATTCATTCTACATTTGTAGCTTTGGCATTTCAGTGTAGAAAGGCAGCGGATGCTATAAAAGGTATTTACCCCAGTAAAGGGGGGGGGGGGGAGTCGAGTTAAAGATTTTTATGAGGACATTTAGAGATGCCCCCATGGGTTTTGATGCCACGGAAGGAGACATTTCCAGGACGCATTCATTATATTAAAGTGTTCAATTATTATGAAATGCAAGTTTCGGATGTTGGAGCATGGTCGGTATCTCATGTGTATTTGTTTAATCGGATATCCCTAAAGTATTTGATTATTTGTTACCTGCCAGCCATGGTGGCCACTTCAGAGTTGCAGGCCTCTCTGACCTCCCCTAAGTGTCGTGAAGTAGTAGCATTGCTGGTCAAAACATCACCGACTATATAGTCATCAATATCGGCAGGGAAATAGCAGAAAATTGGTGACTAAAAGAGGAATATTGTATAATGCTGTGCCACAAAGCCTTACAAATGTTTAGCCGAATGAGTGGGATGTTTATGCTTCCTCATTGCTGATGTGGACTTGGCAAAATATTTTCATTGGGAACTCTGGACATAGTTCACATTCATAAGAGGTTCTGTTGGGTTAGATCGCGTAAATATATAAATGTGTCGTTAAAACCCGCCACCACCCGACACAGCCAACTAGTAAGGGTTGTCACGTAAACAGAACGTGGCCAATTCATCACTAGTACAGCACACCGGTGTGTTGGAGGGCCAACGACACGTTTATATATTTACACGATCTAACCCAAAAACCTCTATTATGTTAGATATTGGTCGCGAAAGCCTACGTGTTAAATAGTTCACATTAGAGACCAGGTTACATTACCGCTCATGCGTGTTAATCATTAAATAGCGCTAACGAGCTCTCGTAAAGAGCCACCGGACGGAAAATAAAGTCCTCGAGATTAACTTATGTACACCGGCATATTCGGTTAGATGCAGCTGGTAAGAATTGCTTTGTCAAGATTGAATCCGGTTTGCCTAAAACACGGTATGCACCTTGCCTTGTACAAAATGCAAATAACTCAGTGAGCCAAAGTTAAACGCAAACCTTTGCTTGGGATAAGCTGCGTTAAAATTAATGTGCTACATAAACAAGGAAGTAGAATGGCGGCGCGGATAATGTAAACAGGTTACTCATTTCAAGTGATGGAGTAAGGGCGTTTTTGAAGTGTAATCTTTTCTCGAATGTAAAAAAAAAAGCTTTGCTTGCAACAGCAAATGCCTCTATCGTGTCAGTACAGTATGTGTATATGGTAAATAACAGTGATTTTTGCCACCATTTACCACCGAGAGCATGTTTTGGTAACTTTTTTAAATGTGTGAATAACAGGCGGTTGAAAGAGCACCACATTATTTTGCATGAAGTGTGATACAACGCAATTTCACTTGACAATATAGTGCAGCACTGAACTGCAGTGAATTATTGTACAATAAAGTGATGTCCTTTGTTAATAGTACAGGCCCAGCAATAGCCATGCACTCATTATTAACCTCCAAACTATATATATGTGTACTATTTGGTTCTTTCGGTAAAGTCACGTAGGTAGAACAAATATATATCACGACGTTTCGATCGCAACACAAGCGGTCGTCCTCAGGCGGAAAAAATAATCCAGCAGTTCCACTGGATTCCTGCAGTCACGAAAGCTTCAAATCAAGATATATATGGTTGACAGGGTTGGCATTAACAAGCAATGCCACCGAGTTTCATTTCGGGCCACGGTTGAGATCAGTTAAGATTGATATTTGGTCTTGAACACTGGCACGGCTAAAAATAATCATAATGAATTATAACGATAATAATGTCTATCGAAGCACTCCACATTGTGTGTGCACTGCAGGGATTATTAAAGGAGAGGCTTCTTTTTTTCGGAGCCACTTGTACAAATATTCGTATTTTTGTTTTGACAACAAAAAATTACAGCCGGGTATCAATGCTATTAAAAAGTGGCCATTCAGACGAGTGCAAGGGCATATTGCGTTTTTTTTTCCCTACATGCACCAGCAGCTGTCTCTAGAGTTCGCCACCACAACAACAAAAAACTGGGACATATCATCGGGAGGAATGAGAACGTATCGCAGTACTGTACTCAGAAGAAGGGGGAACGGCCCTGAATTAAATCGTCTTTAGTGGTGCGCTGTGAAGCAACTGACAAAAAACCAAGACCTATAACGTCACGCGACTACCAGCAGATCATGTACACACCAGTACCTGACTTTCACCTATTAGTGAAATTCAAGGCCGTGTGTATTTTTCTATAAGGGGCCGTCCATAAATGACGTCACGCGATTTTGGACGATTTTTGACCCCCCCCCCCCCCGTCACAAAAAGTCAGACCCCCCCCCTCAAATATGACGTCACAAAGCTCTGCTCCCTTCCCCCCCCCAAAAAAATATAAAAAATGCTTCAAATCGCTTTAAACTATTGCCATTGTAGTGCGTATTTAATGTGGCGCTGCACTCTGATGTTGTAGGAGTTGTTATAACAATTAAATATTTATTTAAAGTTGCGCATTTTGATGTGACGGACACATTTCTCAACCCCCCCCCCCCCCTCGTCACACATCGTCACACATCGTCTGACCCCCCCCCCCCTAGGTGCGTGACGTCATTTATGGACGGCCCCATACCCCCTCACCCACCAGCCTTTAGTGGCTAATTGTCTCACGACAAAAATCTGCGTAATTTTGCTGCGTGGAGGGTCTGTGGCCAAGCGAATAGGATGCGAGGTTGTTAATCGATTAAACATTTCGGGTTCTAATAGCGATCACTTTGGCGAGAGCGTCTCTCTGCATAGAGACACAAGTTGCAACTTTCAAAAAAATGATTTCCTACACGGTACAATAATACGACAATAATAATAAACCCGCGTGTGAACAAGGCATAATTTGCACTGCTATTATTGTTTGAATGCAGCCGTATACCCCGCTATCCAGAATGGATTTTTCGTGGAGCGCAAACATCCATTGTCCTCCCGTTTTCCCCCTGTGCTCCCAGCTCCTCCCCCCCAGCATGGGCATCGTTCCCTCTTCCCTATCAGCTGCCCAGGGGCGTGTGGGGCAGGACTTATAAGTCACATATTGATATGCCGTATTTATATACCGTACAGGACAAGTACTTTCCGGAACGCTGCTTGGCTGTCTTGAGGAGGAGTACACGCGGACGCCTATCCACAATCGTTCCATGTGTATGGTTCCTGAAGCCCTCTCGCGGGCTAGCAGACCTCAGACATTAGGTATTCAGCTCCTGAACACATTGCTGCTGCCGCTGCTGCATCATGCACGCGTTTAAAAAAAAAACAGAACATCGTTGCGTCCCGATATTCCCACCGCCCGCATCGGGGAGGACACGTGAAGGCGGAGAAGATGGATGGATGTGGCGGCATTGACACGCGAGGGCATCATTCTCGCGGAGCAGCTTTGCGCGCGCGGGGTTTGCCCCTCTCCGACACACACAACGCACACAACAACAAAAGCATTTTGTGTTTCGCCACGCACCGTGGCGGAGCGCAAAAGGAGGAGCAGCAAAAGTTGGCGAGCAACAAAAGTTGGCGAGCGAGACAAGTCACGACCACAGAGTAGGGAAGGGTGTCGATGAGGAGGAGGCGTTGTGATGTGTGTGTGGTTGTTGCTTTGTGAAGCGACTCACGGCTCTGCGTCGAGGCTCTGATACTCGGCGACGTAGTTGGCAGGGATGTATCCCCGGGTGTTGTAGCGCTCGTTACTGGTGCTCGCCGTCTTCTTCTGCGCGTACCACCAGTCCGGGTTCGTCTTGTCCGTCACCTCGAGGAGTTCGCCCTCCTTGAAGCTCAGATCCTCGTTTGTTCGTCCGTCGTAGTCGTAGAGGGCCACGTAGAGAGGCAGCGGCTTGAACACCGGATTGGAATTTGGAAATCTATGCGATTGTGCGGCTGTATGCTGGAGTTGATTTGGAGGAGGGAAGGCAGTCTGATCTCTTCCTGTGGGCCAACACAATTGCCAGAGGCATTCGCAGCAAGGGCAGCACGATCTTAAGCACGTAGCCATGGTGTTCGTTTAGCAGGTCCTTCGCCGTTCTTCTTCGAAGATTGTACGAGGCTATTAAAACAACAACAACAACAACCACAACCTAAAACGACAGCAGCAATCGCCTACCCACACAACTTCACCATTTCGAACGAATCGTCATTATCTCAACTACACACAGCTGGCTCGCTCTCCCTCTCTCAAGACGTGGGCGGGGGGAGCCATGATGCCAAACTTTTAAAGTAGCGAAAATTGCTTTTCTTTTGTAGTCGTTTGCTTGCGGATTTGCGAACGAGCAAGTCGCCGGCCGTGTTGACGACAACGCCGCAGCTTTGCCGAGAAAGCCGGCGACCCCTCCGCTCGTGTCGCGAAACCCGCGGCGTCGATCAGGAAGAAGGAAGTCGCGCGCGTGGAATCCCGCTCGACCGGACGGGCGCGACCTCCTTCATTATTATTAGCAGCTTTCTTTTGCCAGAGTCGCGTGCATGCGAGACAGGTCGCCCAGGTGGGTAGGGGGGGGGGGTGCTTTGTTAGGCTTCACCCGTCCTTCACTGTATCACGTAGGCGATAAGCCTTTTTTGCGTACGCAGGGCAGCGGCGCTATGCGTTTCCTCGTTCTCTCATTGCCCAAGCGCCCACGTTACCTGGAATATCCAGGTGAAGCTGGATTCGTATCTACACACCAACTGCGCCCCCCATCACCCCACGTCAAAGATGTCCCGTGTCGCCTTAACAAGTGCTGTTAGCGAGCCGGCACTGCACACGAGGGAGTGGGTTGGAAATTGACCACGCCCGACCGCCTTTGTCTCCCCGGCCGGCAATATTTACACACCGCACCCAGGTACTCATTTGAGGCTGAGTTGACCTAGGGGAGGCCCAGGAACGGTTCCGATAATCGTCACTGTGTGCGGGAATCGAACTCGGGTCATCGGGTTCGTAGCGTAGCGAACCGCACGCTATTTCTACAGTGTAAAACTGGTATTGGCCAATCTTCCCGATGCTACGTTGATAAAGAGCTTAGCTTACTGCCCCCACCATCACCAATCCCTTCTCTCCACCCTCGCTCTCTGGGTTTCATTATTTTCTTTGCATGCGTCGGGTGAACGTTTCGTGACCAAAGGCGAAATTTTGGGAGTGATTAAGCCAAACGGGATGGGTGGATACGCGCCACACGAAATATTTGGCAAATTATAAAGAAAAAAAGTGTGTGCAGCCATGAAATTGCTTGCCTCACGTCACTTAGCAAAAAAGCCTCCATAAGAAGGAGCTCTACAGAGACTGTTCAGGAGAAATGTTGGCAAACTCTGAATCAATGATGTGGACTTTGACCACAATTGTTGACACCTAGATGACCAATGTTATTTAATTCGCACAATTGTTACGTTTGTTATATCAAGGAAAGCCCGACTCAGTTTCGAAACTCTTTTTGCCAAGAGTTTTAAAGTAGGGGGCGATGTTGCTTTGTGAAATCCGAATTGAGTAATTTTCAGGTCAGTTTATTTTGGCTAAGGCCCATTGAGCCACGCTCTTTTTCACCGTAGCATCGGGAAGTTTGGCCAATACGAGCTTTACAGTTTTTTTTAGCCACGTGAGAAAAGTAGAGAACCCGGAGAAAGACCATGCAAGATAGGAAGAAAACATACAGGGAATGGAACCCATCGACTGATGGCTGTGACAACCTGCTGCCCTGTGTAATGATTATGTTTTGCGTAACATGTCTTTTTAAAAGTACGTTAGTCTCTGGTGTTTTTTTTAATTGTTTGACTTCTTGGCTTGACACATCCGTGAGATGACTTGTCGTGTTTAACATTGCGTTAAGTATCATTCTAAACACAAATACTTGTCATTCCTATAATAAATATTTCGCCTCCCGTGGAATGCCAGGGCTAAATTACCAAAATCCAACTGGGTCGGAACACGTATGAACGGACCTGTTAACGCATATGTAAACGGATTGCACCATACATACAAACACACATACTGTACAGAAATGTAAAACACGCACATGGGCATGTAATTAAATTGTTCGAAACGATGTAAAGATCGGGTCTTTTCGGGAACGGACTACATTTGATATTTGCATGTTTATTGCAATTGCATCTTTTTTGACGGTGGAATACTTGTATACATTTCGTGACGCGCTTTTAAATAAAGTAGGAAATTACAACTGATGGATAAAAAAAACATTTTTAACGGATGTGTATAAATCTCGGCCATGTGCATGGGTCAATGGATTAGTTCAGCCGCCAAATAATAATTATGAAAACAACTCGTGGGGATCCTGTTCCGCTCCAACGGAAAATCATCGACGGCTTTCATTTCCATAACCGCCTCACAAATCCTGCACTCGGAGCACTGAAAGTAGTAATCTGTAGAATTCCAAAACAATGTATCGTGGGGTTTTTGTTTGCATTATATTCTATAGAGTTTAAATAATCTGGCGAAAATAATTGTAATTATAGAAGCACACATTTGAAAAGTTATTGTTTAAATGAACCGTGTCAGTTTTCTGAATGTATCACTTCCACCGCTTCTTCTGCGTTGCTATCTTGCGAACTTCTTCCACCGATTATGGTGCCAGCGGTCCACAGCGGCCACTAACAACAGCAGAGTTATTGTTGGGTTGGAAAGGAGTCTAACCAGGAGCCAGGCAGGAAACTGGAGGCATAGATTATTTTTTTTAATCGTATTTTCATTAATTTTGTTATGACGAAGCCACACAAAAGACATCCCACTCCAACGAGCTTAAGAACACAGGCCACGCAATTTGTAAACCTACCTGAGCCTGCACAATAGGCGTTACGTGTAACACAATTCCACCATTTCACGACTGCCAAAACTAGATACATGCAATGCGGCCGTACCGTTTATCCTATCGAAACAAAAATCACCATCAGCCATGGTCAATCAACTGCTGTATGAAGGCCTCCCCCAAGCCACCGTCACCTCTCACCATGTTGCGATGTAGCAATTCACCGATTAATTATCTGCGAAACAAAATGGCAAACAAAAACAATCGATTTGATTGAATCGTAAGGTACACACAAATAAAAGTGTAACCATGTAATGTATTGCTCTCTCCACTGCTGGCGGAAGGACTCGAGAGAGTGAGCTGTAGAGCGCGCCGCTCCAGAGGGCATTTTGGCCTACTCTTCCTACGCTGGCCAAATGTCTTGGAAGAGGAGGGAGTAACCCACACTTTACCCCACCGCAGGTGACCTGCCCATCGACTATGGTGTACCCATTGATATTTGCCGGGTGGACAGCGGGCGACGATCGGTGGGTACGAGTGCGTGGCTACGTATACACATGTTACATAAGTCATCATGTCTTTAATCAACGTAATCTTAAATCGATCTCAAACCTAGCGCACGTACGATTAAAGTTACTTGCTATTAAGAAGGTACATTGCCCGAACATCGAAAATTACGTGTGTGTATATATGTATCCATTTAAGGCAGTGTTATTGACGAACTCGTTGAGTTTGTTGGGAAACCGAAGTGGGGGGTGGGGGGGCATTGGCGCAGTCCATCATGAACTCGGATCCTTAAGTTCCAGCTCTTATAGTCAAACATCCCCCCTACGACGGACAAAAGTCGAGCTGATGCTCTGTGCAGTTGTTAAAGCATCTGAAAAGAATTGTAAAGAGCTGCAAATTATTTACTTGTTGTGTTACTTTAACTGGGTGCCCTATAAAACTGGTTCGGTGAGATAATATTCAAAGTCGCTTAATTCAGGCCTCGACATTCAGGCATGCGGTGGCGCAAAGCGTGAGTATTCCCACCTGTTCTGACTGGCGTGGAAGGTTTGGCCAAATTCCTTCTTCGAGGGGCTTCTCTAGAACCCCCTCTAGAGGAGGCCCCTTCCAGCAGCAGTGGCGTGAGGTGCCGTTTATGATGATTATTTTGTGCACATTGTGGATGTTTAATGTCTTGTTACCAATTATTGTGTGCACATTGTGGATGTGTAATGTCTTGTTACCAATTATTGTGTGTACATTGTGGATGTTTAATGTCTTGTTACCAGTTATTGTGTGCACATTGTGGATGTTTAATGTCTCGTTACCAATTATTGTGTGCACATTGTGGATGTTTAATGTCTCGTTACCAATTATTGTGTGCACATTGTGGATGTTTAATGTCTTGTTACCAATTATTGTGTGCACATTGTGGATGTTTAATGTCTTGTTACCAATTATTGTGTGTACATTGTGGATGTTTAATGTCTCGTTACCAATTATTGTGTGCACATTGTGGATGTTTAATGTCTTGTTACCAATTATTGTGTGTACATTGTGGATGTTTAATGTCTTGTTACCAATTATTGTGTGCACATTGTGGATGTTTAATGTCTCGTTACCAATTATTGTGTGCACATTGTGGATGTTTAATGTCTTGTTACCAATTATTGTGTGCACATTGTGGATGGTTAATGTCTTGTTACAAATTATTGTGTGCACATTGTGGATGTTTAATGTCTTGTTACCAATTATTGTGTGCACATTGTGGATGTTTAATGTCTCGTTACCAATTATTTTGTGTACATTGTGGATGTTTAATGTCTTGTTACCAATTATTTTGTGTACATTGTGGATGTTTAATGTCTTGTTACCACCTCCAGGGTCTCTGTCGAGCTCTCTCGTATAGTAGAGGCATTTGTTTTCCCCCAGCAGTGGCATGATCAAGTCATTTGCGGGGTGAACACCTTTACCCGTTTTTAAATCGGTGAAATAGACGGGAGTCTATTCAAGACCGCGCCTGATTTTTTTGCCTGCGGGAAGAAACCGAAATAGTCTGGATACAACACGCAAAAAAATGTATCCACGCACGTCTCGTCCCCTGCGATCAGATAGACGCGAATCCAGTCAAGCGACATTTCAAGCCACGCAAATCCCTCGCAGTTCAACATGGGCGACGTGGTTGAGTCACGTCTGCGTTACAGCCGTTCACGGGATATGTTTATAATTGCAATGTGTTCATATACGTGCAGGGTGCTAGGTCTACTCAGCCTCGCGTGATTCCCTAGTGCGGTGTGTAAACATCGCCACTGGTTTGAGACAAAGGCGGCCGGGCGTGGTGTTGCCCCCCCCCCCCCGCCCCTAGTGTGTGCCGTGCCGGCCTTCATCGGTGCTCGCTAACATCACTTGCTCTCAACGTCTGTTAAGACTATACGGGGGATCTTTATCTATTTTTTTCCATCGTTGTGTGTGTGTGTATATATAATAGGTTGAAGTGAAACGTTAGAACAAGTGAAATGTGTTTCTTCTTGACATGGCCGAGCGCGTTTCCTGCTCGTTGCCGAGGTTTGCGGTTCTCATATCACCTTAGGGGCCGTCCATAAATGACGTCACGTACCTAGGGGGAGTGGGGGGTCAGACATTTGTGACGATGTGTGACGAGGGCGGGGGGGGGGTGAGAAATGTGACGTCACATCAAAATGCGCAACTTTAAATAAATATAGACAACACGTTCTGCTTAATTAAATAGACTTTTTAATAAATGTATTCTCCTACAACATCAGAGTGCAGCGCCACATTAAATACGCACTACAATGACAATAGTTTAAAGCGATTTGAAGCATGGTTTATTTTCAAAATG